GCGCCGGCAGCGGGAGCGGGGCCCGGGGCGGCGATGTGCGGCGTGAGCAGCTGCGCGATGCTGAACGGCGGCTCCCGCGGCTGCTGCACGCTGCCCAGGCTGATCTTGATCTCGGGCGCCTTGGGCTTCGCCGCGGCCGTGGAGCACTTGGTGGCCTGCTTGCCGGGTTCCTTCTCCTTGGCCGCCTGCTGCATGGTGGGCACGAAGAGGCGCGACATCCTCGTGGACTTGCCCGCCGACAGCTCGCCCAGGTCGGCGCGCCAGTCATGCCGGCCCGAGAGCTTCAGCTTCCCTACGGGCGCCCTCTCCTCCTTCTTCTCCGCCTCCCTCTCCTTCCAGGACCTGAAGGCGCTGTTCTGGCTGCGCAGGAACGTCGCCTTGATGGCGTCCGAGGCGCTGCGCTTCACCTCGCACGCCTCCTCGGGCGCCGCTCTGTCGAGGCCGTGGCTCCCGTCGCGCGGCGTCGACGCCTTGGAGCCGTCGCCGGCCGCCTCCGGCTCCTCGGCGGGCGCCGCGGCGAGCTCCGAGCTGCCCTCCGAGTGCCGGGAGCTCTGCCGCTGCACGCCGCCCTCGCGCGGCCTCTCCGCGCCCGCCAGCCCCGTGTACGACGTGTCTGTGATCTCGCCGCGCTCCATCTTGAACTCGTGCTCCAGCTGCATCTTCTTGGAGATGACATTTTTCAGGAGGCTGGAGGCGAACTTGGACTTCTTACTGGCGTCCTCGGCCGCGTCCGCCGCCCGACCGCCCCCCGCCGCCTCGGCGCCCAYGTTGAGCGTCGTGCCCAGCAGGGTCACCACGCGCGAGCCCTCGCGCGAGCCCTCGCGCAGCCGCTCGGCCGCCAGCGACGGCGTTTCCACGTGCGTGATCTCGCCGTCGAGCTTGCTGACCACGAACTCGAGCGCCTTCGTCTGCGACTTGTTGGAGCGCACGCAGAGGTGGCCGCCGCCGCCCTGGGCGCCGCCGCGGAGCAGGCTCGGCTCCGCCTTGGGCGCCAGGCTGCTGCATTTGAGGTCCAGGTAGGTGGACCAGCGGTTGATGCCGAGCGCATTGTCGGGCAGGGAGGCRGAGGAGGCCCTGGAGCTGAGGTTGAGGGTGTCGAAGTAGGGGTAGGCGAGGCTGCGGAAAGCCCTSGCCGTCAGGTTGCGCACCTCTTTGTCGGCATCGTCGAGCTCGCTGACGGCGCTGGAGGCGCCGCTCGAGTATTCGCCCACTTCCTTGGCCCTTATGGCTCCACACCTGGTTTGCAGACGCGCGGGGACCGCAATAAATTTTTTTGCATGGTCATGGATCGCATCTTGTTTTAAACTTGAATTGCGTTCAGGAGCTGTGGAGACACGGAGGCTCATGTCGCCTTCATGCTTGGCAGCATAAATAATGTTTTGCTTTTCGTGCACGTTGCTAGACTCATTTATAGCCCGGGAAGTCGGTTTGATTGATAGGAGGATCTGGCCTGCGGGATTCTCGCTCGTGTCGCCGGGCTGCTTGGACGGGCTCTCTTCCGAGCTGCCGCATTTGTCCGTGCCGGGGGTATCGTTTTCAGAATTAATGCTGACGATCTCCGTGCTGCTCGTGTTATCGATGCTGTCCGTGTGGTTGTTGGGGTCGCTGGTGGTCGTGCTCAGGTAGCAGCTATTGTCCTCCTCCGTCTGCGTGTCCCCGAGGGTCTCGTCGCTCCCAAAGGAGGCGTAGTCCACGAAGGAGTAGATCACGTTGTTGTCCTCAAAGTCCCAGCGGGCGGCGAGCCCCGCGTCGAAGTCCATGTCGTGCTCCACCTCGCTGAGCTGGATCTCGTGCGTGCTGATGTAGTGCGCCTCTTCACGGCCGCCGCCGCCCGCGCGCGGCGCCCCGCCGCCGGCCTTGCTCCCCGCATCCTCCTCCTCCTCGTCGCTCTCGTAGCCGAAGGAGGACGAGGAGGTTTTGCCCTCCGCTGGCCCCGCGGCGCCCAGCGGCGGGAAGCCGCCGGCCTTGCTTAGCGGCGACGGGCACGAGGAGGAGGAGGACTCGGGGCAGCCCCCCGCCGCCGGCCCCGAGCCGCATCCCGGGGAAGGAGGACCATCCCGCGCGCGGGCTCCGCGGTCCGGGGATGCGGCGGCACCGCTGAGGGCTCCCGCGGGCGCCGCTCGCCCCGCGGCCGCCTCCGCGCAAGGCGCCCCCGCCTCCTCTCCCTCTTCCTCGGCGGCCGCCTGCGGGCTCGGGCTGGGGCTCGGGCTGGGCAGCGAGCGCGGCCGGGTGCTCGGCTCGCCGGGCGCGTCCATGCTGGGCCC